ATACAAACACATATTTACATTTATAGCTTTTTTCCACAAAAAATCGTCCTTTTAATATTTGAGACTTATAAACTTTATAGACTACATCTCAATTTCAGCCTTTTTTTTTATCTTATTGGTTCAAATGGTCAAATTCCAGTCAGTGAAGCAGAATTAAACACAAGTCTTTTCACAGTTCGCCCAAACTTCTAACTAAGAAAAGTTATAACTCACTCCCCCACATATGTGAATATCCTGGCACGAGAAAAGTACAGAATGTTTTTTTCCTTTAAGTTATCAAATCGGCTGTACAATTTGTCAGAAAGTGCCAAGAAAGCACACCCTGAGAACAAACACACACATCAGCTATCTCTGAACATTAGCTCAATGTGGTCCAATCATTAATCAGTCCTTCGATCATTAACTAAATCTCAACTAACTTATTAACAATTAGGTGGAGCCACCAGATACGCAGTTGTAAAATCATCACACTAGTTTATAGAGGCTGTTTGCATCTTTCTGTGTTAAAGCCGGTCAAAGGGCTAAACTTGTGAATTGTTACATAATTCGGTGTTACTGATAGAAATGATTAACTCTATTTTTATTTGTCCTGCTGTTCCAGCTTTGTTAAAAGCCGCAGTCATCTGTCAACAGTAACAGAGACAGGAAGTGCAGCGACGTCTGTCAGGAGATTAGCATTTAATGTTTTCACTCACCATGATTGTGATGTTGTCTCAGAGGACAGGAGACCAATCGTAATAATCTAAGCAGCTAAAAGTAGCGATGGCTCTCTTTTACCTGAACCATTATTTAGACCTGAAGCAAGCTTCTGAAGGTTAAAATATCAATAAGGTCAAAGCTRTGCAACCACAGCCACAGGAAATGTTCTTTAAGGAGAGCAAATGCAAGTGTAAAAAAAAAGAAGAAGAAATAACGCAGCACATAACGGCCGTGGAGGAAATGTAAGAATCGATCTAGCTTGGCGCAGGGCCTGATTGAACGCACCGAATGGGAATCGCCATAAAGACGAAGCTGCTCCACATCATTACAGTTTTATGCCCATCACTCAGATTTCCATTTTCTGCTCCTGCCTGACATGTCTGCTCTGTGTGGGTAATGGCTGCTATCCACTCCTAACGTCATAATCAAAGGCCAAGCGTTGGTTGAAACAATGCATATCACCAGACAGAAGTCAAAAATAGTACAAAATAGTACTAGCAATGGTAATAAATATGAAAGAACTCTGTTTTATATATGTTATATTTTTGTCCCTAGACATGCAAATATTAGCCTTTATAATTATATATGTATATAAAGGCTAATGTTTAATTATATATATATATATATATATATATACATACATGTGTGTGTGTATGTTTGTGTGTGTGCGTAAGGCACAATTTTATTATGTAAAATATAAAGGCTAATATTTGCATTTTTAGGTAAAAAATATTTAAGAAAATTAAAACAGGTTTCTTTCATATTAAATACCACTGCTAGTACTATTTTGTACTATTTTTGACTTGTGTACAATTTTGCTTTATATTTTTATTTGTAAATTCCTGTAAAAGTAACCTAAATGTATTCTGTGTATATATTGATATTACTTTACCTATCAAAATAGCATAATTATTATATGAATGTCCATTATAAGTGTGCCATTTTAACATGTCTCACCTTTACAACAAAAAAATCTGTTTGAAAATCCGATCAAAATTGACCAAGTTATGGTTATTTAAATAGTAAACACACCACACACATTCATGTTAAGAGTGGACGAGCTTCCTGTCCCAAGATGGCCGCCGTGTGAGGACGTCGGTCTAGATTGGCCAACAGCGGGGATGATTTATCTAGCCTTTATAAATATCTATGATTGTCTGTAGCCCCAATGAGCAGTAAACTGAGGGGGCGGGACAAGACATCTGTCAATCATTCTGTGCTGTGACAGTTATTAAATGAACAGGGCTGTGAAACGTTAGCCATTTGGAAAGACTCTGGGATTTTCTCGAGACCGTTTGGCACCAGCTTTGTTGTAAATTTAACAAAATGTGATAAAATGTTTTTAATTTGTTTTTTGGGTGCTTTAACATTTTTGTTGTAAACACCAGGGAGGGCTTAGTCCACTTACACCAGCCATACCTGACCAGTATAATATGCTGAAATACAAAATACTTTGTTAATATTTCCATGGTTAAATTGTTTCTACTGCAAGTTAGATGCGTAACGACACAGTTTCCTTTTCCTGCCTACTGCTTCCTTGTAAATCACAACCAGGTACCCAAAACTCCCTTATTTATCGGATGATTACACACGCAGAAACCTGGAAATCCTGCAGAACGAAAGAAACATTTCTTCAGGTGACAGATTTGCTCACAAATGAGTTCTGGTTCCCGCTTGTCGTACTGGTTTTTAATCAACTGCTTCTGCCTCAGACTGCGCTGCAGAATCATTTCACACTTTTTTGTACTTTTTCAACACGTTTGTTTGGGTCCTGTGAAAGCTTCCTCTCTGTCAAAACGTGTGACTGGATGTCAGGACGTCCTGGTAATCCCAGTAAAAAATGTAAAAGTCTCTAAGCTCTTTGTGATTTCTGTCTTGAAGGAAACCTGAAAATGCACGAGGAGCTGGAGGAACTCGTGGCGGACTTCCTCGGCGTGGAGTCCTCCATGACGTTTGGGATGGGTTTCGCCACCAACTCCATGAACATTCCAGCTCTGGTTGGCAAGGTGAAGGAATTCCTGCTGATGCCTGGGTGTCATTTTTAAAATAGCACAATAGATATGAATGTAATTAGTTGAGCTTTTGTTCCTTTTCTGGCATATGGCCTAAATTAATAAAAAAAAGACAACTTAGCTTTGCTTCGAACAACTCCCAACCACCTGGGTTAATTAAAATTATAATTAAACATTACAGTAGCCTGGAGGAAATGGCTCGGGGCATGCAAAGCATGGGTTCAAACACGCACAGCAACACCAGCAAGTTTTTCCTYTTGAAAACTACTGCAGGGCCCGACTGCTGACTTTGGCTTTTTGGCACGTCTGCCTGGTTTGAACCGGGGGGCCACCGGGAACCCCAGGCAATAAATAATATAAGTAATTTTGATTTGATTGGACGGGGAGATGGTTCAAGTCAGTGGTCTTTTATTTAAATCGATCCACCTGAAGTGATTTTTTTCTCTAGCAAAGGTCCAGAATACATAATTGTAATTTATTGAAAGCCGTGTAGAAAAAGCTAAAAAAGAATTACCGTAAAAGCTAGAAAAGCTGTCCCACTGGAGGTAGCAGTGGGACTATTTAACTGCTAGCTCAGTCCTACGGGGACAGGAAGTGCCAGGACAGGCCTGTCAATGCAAGGCGGGACCAGCATCAGAGTGACAGCTGCTGGCAGACCAGAGTCCAGGGAAGGCTGACCCCCAGGCCAGACCGAGCAGATCTGTCACAGAGTCCACATCAACCCCTCACCCCCCGACAAGTTTCCACTCAGATTAAAGCAGCCAAACGCTCGGAGCTTCAGTGTTAAATATGCTAATGCTCTTCAGAGAATTTCTTGGAACAACTGAATTAATTTGCATGCTCATACAGTAGCACTGTAATCTGGACATGAGAAATGGTAGCACGTATGTAGGTTAAAATTCAGACATCAAAGGGGAAAAAAAGCATGTTCTGAATACACATTTCTACCAAGACATAAATGATAGTGATTAAAACAAAAATGGGGGCAGGGCAAAGAAAAGGCTGACAAGTAATAGGCCGTGTAAATCTTTTTTACTGCGCTGCACACGGAACATCCTTACATAACAGGATTTTTTTGTCTTAAAGCTGAAACACAAGTAAAAGCAAGTAATCTTTCAAAGTGAAATAAAAAACAGAAAATGTATTTCATCTTTTCATTCATAAATAATTTATACCAACAGTGTTATTGTGTGAACGCTTCACAAGCATTCACACTATTGAGGTAATTGTTTCTTCCGTACATTTGTTGGCACGTATCTCGTGCCGCAATTTTTGTGTTATTTTAACATCAAAACGTTCAGCTCCTTCAGGACATTCCGGCAATGACTTTTGATATTTCAGCTGTTCATACATTTTTGAATATTTCACTTTTTCGGCCACATTTTTCCCATTGAAAATTAATGAAGCTATTTGAACATCCTTAAAATCCTTCAAAATGTTTCTAAAGATTTACAGCACCTTACACGTTTTTTCTGGTTCTGCTCTTTTTAACTTCCTTGTGCTAATTTTAGCTACTTATTTGCTAATTTGAGCTTTTTTTCTTCTATTATAGCTATAATTCTGCTTCTTTCTGCTATTCTTCTGCTGTTTTCTGCCTTTCTTTCTGCTAATTTGAGCTATTTATGCTTCTTACTTATGCTTTCTGCTATTTGTAGCTATTGGCTGCAATTTTAGTTAATGTTCAGCTGTTATTAACTAAAGTTAGCTTTTTTAAGCTAATTTCACATTTTGGTGGCTATTTCAGCTTCTTTCTGCTTAGTTCAGCAAACTTGTGCTCCTTATGCTAATTTAGTAATTTGCAGCTACATTTTAGCTGCTTTACTGCACAATTTGGCTGTTTTAGATATTTAATAGCAAATTGTCACATTTTTGTACTTTGATGAATTTTTTCTGTTAATTACCGCATTTATTCAAGTATAATATGTAAAATTAAATCCATAAAATCCTCCATAAAGTTGGGGGGGGGGGAGGGGGTAGTACTATACTCGGATAAATATTTTTACTTATGTATTTTARCTKMAWTMWCRRMWTSMYTSAGTCCGGAAATGAGACCRCGTTGTAAAAAGCAGTTGAAACGAGCTTACCTCTGACACTCCTCCGTGCTTCAGAGCGAGATAATRACAGATCCAGGCAGGCGACATGATGTAAAAAAGGGGAAAAGCAGTCCTGCACCTTAGTAATGATAATGAACTAATGACATTAGCGTGTGACCGGGCCGCTCCTCCAACAGCAAACACATGTTCGTCTGTAATGGCTGCATCTACCGGTGTTCTGAAAAAGTTTGTATCCCTGAAAAAACATTTCCCCACCAGAGGGGGCGCTCGCGAGTAGGAAGTAATCTGCTTTTCTCCCACAAGATGGTCCAAATCTCTCATGAAGTCTCTGACTTTTGTGTTGGAGCCTCCTGGTGGACTATGTGTAAAATGCCAGAATTCATATGATGCTGCTACAGCTGATATATATTTGTTGTCAAAATACCTTTTAGTACTTTTGTTGTTAAAATAAAATGAACAGTCCAATGATCATTTTACTGATCTGTATAAAGACTGCAAAGGCTGAAAAATCTTGAAGTCTGTATGAAATTGGAGGTAGTTTGAGGATTAATTTTTTAATGCTTTTTAAGCTAAAAAAAGGGGGGTCGTATTATACATGAGATCATATTATACACGAATAAATACGGTAAATCTAAAACACTTTTTTATGTGCTGTTAGTGAATTTCCTCATCATTATACATAAATATTTATGGAACTGGTTTGTGAAAGCTGAACAGGTTTTTGCTGATTTTCAGGGCTGTCTGATTCTGAGCGACGAGCTCAACCACACGTCGCTCATCTTGGGGGCCAGACTGTCAGGAGCGACGATCCGGGTGTTCAAACACAACAGTAAGTCCAAATAGTTTTAGTTAATCATCAAGATCTCTACTGTCACACTGACACACATCTGCAGCTGAAATCTCTGACATTATTTAGCTACTCTTACACTTTTAGCTCACATATTCCCAAACCGTTGCTGCTGTGAGGAACCGAACAGGATAGCTTGTTGCTAAAGCACAACACAAGAACTTTTCTCTTCCTGAAACACAACACCAGGAGCAAGTCAGTCCTTCGGCTGCAAATCTGTCCTGACAGGTACAAGCTCAGTCAATTCTGGGTGTACCGATCAGACCCCAGAGGCTTGTCCGAAGGTAATCCACCACCAGGCTCCTGAGAAGCTGAGCCCTAAACATTCAGACCCAGACATCTATGAGAGAAAAACAAATAAAGCTGTATGTTTTTGAGTTTAATGTTGCAGCTGGTATCGCTGTGAGAAGCATTGATTTGTTTCTTTAAACAGAAAGAATTTCATGCTGCAGAAAAAAAGTAAACAAGTTTGTCCGGTTCAGCAATATCAGGCACGTGGATCAAACTTGTCACGTTTTCACCTCCCTTTATTATTTAGGATTTTATTGTATTTGTTTCCTTGTGGTATATCACTATATTTATTTATTTATTTTTATTTATCGACCTAGCAGCATTTGTGCAGCGTGAGGGGCAGAGCAAGGACAACACGATGCGGTCACATTTTATGGATATTCGCAGCTCGTGTGAGCTCCTGTGTCATACTGAGGCAGAGATAAGAATCCGGTCGTTCTGCATCTCACGTCAGACCCGGTTTATCCTACATCAGAGCGAAACTGTGAAATAATCTGTTCCTCTTTCTAGTCTGCTCACCTTCACCTAGATTTTTAGGAACATCTTGTTCCGTGGCATTTCAGGGAAGGGAAATTAACAACAACTGGTGTCTGTTTTTCTTTTTTTTAATATGCTGAGGCAGTGATATCAATCACAGAGACAGACCATCACCATTTGGATTGCAGTTGGTCTTTAAATACTGTTTCTGCAGCTACAGCTGGTTCATACTGCCATCTGCTGGTGAGCACTGGAATGTCGTTGCACTTGTTTCATCTGGTGAAATATAAATAAAAACACCTAAAGTTTAGTGTCCAGGAGCAACAGAGTCAGAGCAGAAGGATTTACCTGTCCAGGTGTAAAGTGGGTTAATCAGTAATCTTGTTTAAGGTGCCTGAGTGCAAAGGTGTTTCTGTCAAATAAAGCCATGCAGTATTTTGTAAATGGGTGGAAATGACTGCTGTGTGTTCTGTTTGCTTTGAGTTTACTGCAGTTTGATGTCATCACTGTAAAACGTTTGTGTGTTCTTGAATCAGACATGCTGAGTCTGGAGAAGATGCTTAAAGAAGCCGTCAGCTCAGGACAGCCCCGGACCCACAGGCCCTGGAAGAAGATCCTCATCATGGTGGAAGGCATCTACAGGTCAGCTGTTCTTCCACAAACCTCAGATTATTATTATTTATAGWCAAACACTCTGCTGTTTTTGGACTTTTCATCACAGCCCAGAACTGATTACCTTTCGTCGAGCCGGTTCAAGATGGTTCCCAAGTGGCTTCAGAAGACAGAAATAACTCGAGAATTTGCATTTCCTTCAAAAACGCGAAAGTTTTTCTGAAAGCTGCCGAAGAAGCTGAAAATATTTAATAGCAAAGCTGTTAAAGTGACTTAAATTTGAACAGCTGACTTTTGCTGAAARTAGGAAAACAAAAGTAAACAGAAGCAGAAACAAGCTGAAATTATTAGATGAGTGGTGAACGGAGAGAAAAAATGCTCACAAACAAGAAAAGAAGAACAAAAATGTTTAAATTTGTTATAAAATAGCTAAAGCAAAGAAAAACTGGTTAAAAAGTAGCTTAAAAAGCTGAAGATGCAGAAAGAGCATGTTTGTTGGAATAAGTTGTAAGAAGCTGAAATTCTCACAAAACAGGTGGATTTAGATGAAAAAAACTAAAATTAGCTGAACATAGCTACAAAGCATCTAAAAAAGCAAAAAACAGCTGGAATTAGTTGAACTCAGCTAAAATAATCATAAAAGCTTAAATTAACAAAACGAAGAACTGGAAAAAGCAGAAAAAAATTAAATTTGAAAAAAAAAATACACGTTGAAAGAAGCTGAAATTTTCACAAAAAAGTGAACTTAGATGTAAAAAAGCTAAAATTAGCTGAAAGTAGCTACAAGTAGCTAAAAAAGCAGAAAACTGCTGAAATTTGCAAAAATCAGCTAAAAGAAGCATAAAAGCTTAAAGTAACAGAAAGAATAATTGAAAAGAGCCGAAAGATAGCTGAAAAAGAAAAAAAGGTTGAAAGAAGCTGAAATTAGCACAAAGCAGAAACAGAACAAAAGTCAAACAGTAAAGATTTCTAAACATTTTAAACGGTTTCAGGGACGTTAAGCTCCATTTATTTTCAATGAGAAAAAAAATTGCAGAAAAAGCTCAACGGCCACRAAGTATAAACTGCTGAAAGACCAAAAGTCGTAGCTCCAAATATGCTTCGTAGCTACATACACGAATTGTTGAAACAGCACAAAACTTGTGGAACAGGTTGGATGCTGACAACTCATGTTAGTGACATGAATGCTCAGTAGCTCACCRTCACCACTGGTATGGTAGTAGCTGAGAGTCATCCTCATGGCGTACTCTGAGCACTAACACATCTCACAAAGTAACGCTAGGACTTTCTTTTGATTTGAGCTTTCAGGAGAGTTTTTAGCTTTTTTTTTGTAACCTTTGGTTTTCAACAGTTTCCCTTCCTCCTCTTTGAACAATAGACTGTGTGTGTGTGTGTGTGTGTGTGTGTGTGTGTGTGTGTGTGTGTGTGTGTGTGTG